GTGGGTAGGGGGGCTGAGATGTTGCACGATGGGGGCAGGTGGGGAGCAGCTAGCATGCAAACAAAGGGGTTCGGGGGGGGGAAGAGGAGTCCCACAGACCAAACCACCACAACAGCTGAACCTAAAAGCTAAGCCCTTACCTGAGATGTCCCCATAATCCAGATCTTCGGCAGAACTGGGCAACTGAGTAAAGCCTTACAAGCAAAAAAACAAGCTCATTTTTCTCGGTGTACCTCACGGGATGAGAAAACAAAACACTTAAGAACAGAGGGCGCATTTCAGCATTTCATAGGGGAGAAGGAAAAGAAACGAGTCAATTCCCGGGGCTCAGGTGAGCTGCCGAAGCAGATGCTCCAAGCACTTATCAACGGACGCAGGTTTTGCCTCTTAAAAAACCCACCGTCACAAGATTTCTCGAGTTGCACCACAGGGAACACACAAGACATGGAGGTGAACATTCAAAACCACTCATTCACAACCACATGCAACTCCCTCCCCCTCTCCCCCTGTTCGGAAGAGAGATGCACAGGTTGGATTCATGGACTACAGCTCCCGGAATCTGTTAAGAAGGAATTCTGGGAGTTGTAGTCCAAAAACACAGAGCTGCCCATTTCTAGAGAAAAACATTGCCTCCCCCCCCACGATGACATTTCCTGTTCGGAAGAGAGATGCACAGGTTGGATTCATGGACTACAGCTCCCGGAATCTGTTAAGAAGGAATTCTGGGAGTTGTAGTCCAAAAACACAGAGCTGCCCATTTCTAGAGAAAAACATTGCCCCGAACAGTTGGGGCCTCTCCTTTTAACTAACCATTGTCTATATACACAGGCCCTGAAGAAAGAAACATTTTTCTGGATTTCTGTGTACATGTAAATCCTCTGGCAATGCCACTCAAAGACCCTGGCGGGGCAGGGTTACTTTGGACTCTTTACTTTCAAAGACGACAGCAACAAAACATGGACACTGCAAGCCGTATTTTTCTGAGGGTGAACCACAAAACGAAAGAAAAAGCTGTCGGAGAAGGCTTTAGAGAAATCTCATGTTATCTTTTCTCTGGGAAAGTCACCTCAAAGCTGGTAATGCCGTGTGACGCTTCCCTTCTTGCTGGCAAAACACAGAGGAGACTTTGATTTTTGCGGCTGACACTTCTGGCTTTGTTTAAAAATTACCCTTCAGTGTAGATGCAACTGGCTTGGTTACGAAGGGGGTTCCCAAGTGCTACCTGAGACCTGGAGGCATTTAATATAAATATAAAGGTTGCAAGCACAGAGGATGCCATGGAAGAAATGTAGGGTCAACTGTCTTGACTTCATCCCCTCCTGATGGCCGTCTTCCCCAACTGGGGAAAACTCTTAATCGTTTTCTTGTCCACACTGTAAGGAAGCTCTGAGCAAATTATCCCTGGGATGTATGCTATTTTGACCTGGACGTTCACCACAGAAATCTTACTTACCCTACTTTGTTGAACTCTCTGTCATGTCTAGTTTGGCCCTGAAGGAACAGGATGGACAAAGTGAAATCCACTGCCACAACCTCCAGGTCTGCGTGTAAGAATGCAAAATGGCGAGCATGCACTTGCACGGGTTGGCGCTTGGGGTTTTAAATATCAGACTACAGCTGCTCAACTGGTCAGTGAGGACCAAATGGGAGACTGGATGCTTCTCTGACCCAGGCAAGGCCAGATGGGGCAGCAACACGCACAAGCTGGAGTGTTACATTGAGGGGGACCATCCTCGGTGATGGTGTCCGGTTTAGGTGCAAACACGAGCCTTTGGTTGACTTCTACGCGGTGCGCAACTGCCTGGCAAACTAAGAGCTGCCTCCCTGCATGATGTTGTTGGACATATTTTGCAATTTAAAGGCCCCAAGTGTGACTTGTTTAAAGGATTTCTGCTGCTAGAAGTAGAGCAAAGGGGAAACAGGACGGCCTGAAGGATCGATGGGCCCCTGCTAGGCAGGGCAGAGTCCCAGGCCAGAAGAATCAGTGTTCCTCTGACCTGGTAATTAGCACATTCTAAGTTGGACCCCAAACTCTGGGTATCCAGACGCACTGGCTTGCCTCTTTGGCACGGGTGTGCCTGGAGGACTGCGCCCGCTGTGCCAACCCTTGTTGACACAAGGTTTAGTTTTTGCACAAATGGGTCATGGTTTGGGCCCCATTATTTTGAATCACAAGAAACCTCCCTCCATTATACTTGTGCGTGCATGTCTCTGTGTGTAAGGGTGTGCATGGCGACCTGAGCCTCTCCTATTGTCACTGGACTGTCACATCTTGCATCTTAGTCTGTCTTAGGGGATGCAGCCTAACCGGCTACGCTCACTGCACAGAGGTGCTCTGTTCTAGGGGAAACTACACTACGGGGGGAGAAGACCCCAAACCCTGCATTTCTCCTCTTCCTCCTCCTCTTTTCAGTGTAGCTGCCATAATTCTTTGCAAAATGTAACCTGGAAAGGATCTCCTAATTAATTATCCTCGCAGATGGTGCAGTCGGAAAACAGCCCACATTAAACTCACAGAGATGTAATGAAATGACTAATGAAAACAAAACAGCCGTTGGGCCTGATCCACCGGATCTTGTTGGGGTGAGAAATAACTTGGATCGAAGAAATACCCATGTTCTGGATCAGAGCCTTCTCCTCGACCCTTCGCAAAGCTCGCTCGCTGGTGCCGGCTTGTACCAGCCGTGCCAAAACGGCAACTGGCCCACATCTAACTCATCCCGTAGAACCTAGTGATTGTATTACATGCTGGCGAGAGAAATCTTCCGGGTGACAAAGAAAGAAAAGGTTCCCTTGAGGTCACTTTGGCAATCCAGAAAAATCTCACTTCCAAGATCACCTTTGTCCGAAGACAACAACATGACCTGGAAAAATTCTAGTTTTATCAGGTGGCTGCTCCTTTAGACTCTGGCACTCCCTGGTACTGGAGGCCAGGCTGGGCCCCCATCTTGGCTGTCCTTCCAGAAGCAAGCCAAGACCTTTTCTCTTCCGGCAAGCCTTCTGCAAGTGAATGGCTGCCAAGTGGAGTTTTCTAAATGGATGGTTGTGTTTTAGGGTTGGTTATGTTTTTTGGCTTTGTATTCATTGATCCTTTTAGCATTGTATACTCATGGCTATAAACTTAAACACTGACTTGTAAGCCTCATGGGGTTCTTTTTAAGGAGAAAGGTGGGTTAAAAGTATTTTAAATAATAACCTCCTCCGAAGGGCTTCTTTTTTCAGGGTTTTTTTCCCTTTAAGAAAATGTTGCTTTCTTTCAAAGTAAAAAAAAAAAAAGGTCAACCCTGCATTTTTCATGAAGCCAAGGATCCTTTATTTTTCCTTCCACTCTTTCTCCTCCCAAAGCTAATGGAACAGTTCTGCTATTCTATTTCTCTCACTCCTACTCGGCAGACTTTAAAAATGTCACCGAATGGCATTAAAAAAATAGTCAAGTGGCATCTAAAACATGCCGCAAATTACATCTTGGGTTTTCTCGTTACATTTTTTTTTGGTTGTTGTTGTTGAACTATTAAGAGACTTTTATTTTTCAGTTTTGAATAGAAAGCCCTCCCTCTCTTTGCCTTTTTTCCTGAATAAATGAGATTTTAAGTTCCTGAGTGCACACCATTAGTTTGGCACTTGGAATTGGAGAAGTCAAAATCAACCGGGCAGGAACGGGACTTGAGCAAACCCTCCCCTTCTCCAGACTCCCAAATGAAACACAACCATGTCTGCTGTTTCTCAGATTGGCCTGAGATCCTTTCGAGAACTGGGACCCCACAGAGAAAAACCTAAGATGTAAGCCTTCCCAGGCTTCTAGAAGATGAAGGTGTCGTGTCTTGCTGGAAGGCATCCAGCCGCTTGCAAGTCAACGACCAGGGGATGAATCCCAACTTACTTATGCTTAGAGCGTTGTGCTTTTGTCCCATCAAGTCAGAACTGACTTACAGCAACTCTAACACAGCTCTCAAGGTTAAGGGCAAAATTCAAGGAGTAGTTTTACCAGCGCTATCCCCCTCTCTACGAGTTTCCACGGCTGAGTGGAGATTTGAACCCAGGTCTCCCGAGTCCTAGTCCATCACTCTAACCACTGCACCGCTCTGCATAGTTTATGGTTAGAGCAGACTCACTGAGATCAAGACGGCAAGTGGCTCGTAACAACCCCTAAGCCTCAATCATTTCCAGGACTCTGCTCTAGGTAGATTTAGAGCTGCATTGAAACTCGTCCAAACTATCAGCGTTTTTTATTTGACCCATCCGAAGCTTTTCTATTTTGTACGGAAATGTTTTATCTTTAATATTTTTAAAAATCAGATGTGAGCGCTACTGTGTGTTATTGCACCGTTTTACTACCTTGTAGAATTTTTGTTTGTTGAAAAAGACCGTAAATATATTTGATTCTGTAAATGCATTTGATTTGGTTTGGTGTTTTTTTAAAAATACTTCTTGGCCTCTTTCTTAGATGCCATCCCTAGCAACTCCTCCACACAAAATTCGCTTTATCAGCTTTGAGGTGATGAGGGTTTCCCACTTGTTCCTTGGCGAGGTTTGAAGATTTCTCTCTGTTTGTTCGTTTTTGAAAGAGCAGAAGGGCTGACATCCAATCACCAGAGGGAACCGCTGTTGAAAAGGTGATGTTTCAGGGAACTTGGACAGTTCTATTCCTATATCCCACTAAAAATCAATCAATCAAGTTAAATCCAATTAAACTAACCTTCCCAAGTGTGTGCTCCAACATTGTGGCATGCTGAAACTTAAATGCATCCACGTGAAAAGTGGGATAACTTTTTGATCTGAAGTAGCGGGACAAAAGGCCCAATTCTTCTGCTGAAGATGCCACCAGTGTGTGCTGGCGACTCACACACTCCCCTCCTTAAAGCAAAGAGATCCTCCAAAAGGGCCTCCCCATACATCGCGTGGCTGTCCCTAAGTGGAACACAAGCCACTAGAAGCTCCTTTCGTGGGGTGGTGGTGGTATAACATATGGCACTGCCAGAGTGTGGGGAAGCTACCTTTTAGAAGACTAAACACCCCAGAATTCCCCAACCTTCATGACAAGTCATCGTGGTGGACCCCAGATGGTCATTCCCAGAAGTTGCTGCCCCTACACAAGTAGCTTCTCTGGGAATCACATGGGGGGGGGGGAGTGCTGGAGAGCAGCCTGCTCATTTCCCCATCTCTGCCGATAGTATTATTGAAATATAGGTCTGATTTCAAAAGGCGTCTGCTCTCTCTTTCTCACAAGCAGGCCGTGGGCTGAAAGAGCCCTGTTCTCATGATTTCCAAAGACCTGCCAGAGAGAGAGAGAGAGAGAGAGAGAGAGCGAGAGCCCAGATTATTGGAAAAAGCAGATTCAGTTTTGAAAGGGAAGCTCAACTTTTCAAAAGAACACAAAGGGGCGTGACTTGCGGAAATCATTTGGTTCTGACACCTGTCTCTGCCAAGTGTAGCTCCTCCCTACTTCCTTTACTGATCTGGGGCTGGCGAGGATTCCCCCCCCCCAAAAAAAAAGTAGGTCTGCAGGGCGAGGCAAAAGTTAAAAGAGGGAAGAGGATGCTGGGACAGGGGCACTGAAGCGCATCCAAAGCCAGAGCTTGCATCGCCGCTAGGAACATGCCGTTACTAGAATCCTGACAATGAGTGGGGAGCAGAGAAAAGCTTGGATGGAAACTTTCAAGGTTGGTTAAGATCTCAGCTCTTAGGCAGTTGAAGGGTTAAATATTCGTGCTTTAAATTTGTCCATGCATAGCTGCTGTTAAAGTCTCGAACTGCGAGGAAAGGAATGGCGGGCAGTTGCTAGAGGTTTGCATGCACACAACGGTCATCTCGTTCCCCTCCCCCGCCCCTCTCGTTTAGAATTAAAAAGAAAGGCAAATACACCCGGAAAACTTAATGGAGCGCTGAACCCCCTCCCACGAGTGAACCGTTCTCCCACGTTCTCAAACAAACCTTCCGCCGTTCTGGCGTTCCAACATTTGCTTTTTAACTGGCAATTGTTCTTGGTGGCAACCCCGCCTTGTTTCCCCAGGTTTTGGCCATGCCCCCTCATGCATGTTCGCACCATCCACAGACATGCTTACTCTCATTTGGACACTGTTCAGAACGAAATGGCTAACACAAGGAACAGTTGCTCAACATCATACGCTCAACATCTGGGCAACGCAAGCTTGGGAAGAAAAGTCCGGAGGCTTGAATTGAGAGAGAACCCACCTTGGCCAAGAGGACCACCAACCTGATAAAACCAGGATATTTTTAAGGCAGAAAGGATAGCGTCGCTCACCTTGGACCCAGCAAATTGAAATACCCAAGCCATCCATCCACTTTGGCCAGGAGACCATTTGCAACTCCTAGCTGGCTAAGTTTCAGAACGTATGTCAAAGGAAAAGGAGACGCGTCTCTTCGTTAGGGACGTCTCTGATCCATTCTTCAAAACACACGTGGACTGTTTCAGTGGCCAGACATTTCCTGTACAGATATAGAGGACTTCCTTCCGAGCTGGTCACTCAATCTGAGACGCAGAGCTTCAGCAGAATGACTGTCATATTCAGGTTGGCGAGGAAGGATATCCACGCAACATTTCAGCCTCAGTTCCGCCCAAACAAAAACAATTCCCTTCCCATTGGTAGCGATAACGGAATGTCTTAATTGTTGCCTTTGCTTCTTGAATGCTTACTTGTACTGCAAAAGTACAGTTCCAGAACATCTTAACTCACAGCGTAACCTTTTCCTTAAAACGTTCCAGATTTTCCTTTTCAGTGGGACCACACAATCCTGTGAATGGGAAGCCATAAAGGAAAATTCCTGAAGTACTTGCTGAAGACTATTGGCCATCGTAGAACCACAAGCAGATTGATGCTTGCCACTGGTTCATCTAGGCAAGCACTGAGTGTAAATATATGCTCCTGGAGAGCTCAGTGGTTTACACAGCTGGCTGCGAAGCCCAAGTTGGGGGTTTCGATGCCCCCCACTGGGCTTCGAGAGCGGGTGGACCCCATGGTTCAGAAGGTCCTTTCCAGCTTTGCCATTCTAAGAATTAGGCGAGTCCTCTCAATCCTAGATGGGCTTGTGTCCAATCCAGCCACTGTTACCCTAGACATTGGTCATACGTTGCTAATGCTGAGGTGAACAGCAGAAGTGTGTGAATTATCCTCCTTTTCCAGCCTGCGGTAAGCAAACTTGTAGGTGGCCTAATGGTAACCATGCCACATGGGTTAATTCTAAACCTGACATCTTATTTTTAAGATGCCACAAGTCATGTTGAAGATGCTGCCGTGGATGGCGAACTTCACAGCGGTATGGATTCTGAAAAAAAGGAGGAAGCCTAGCAGTAATGCCACAATTTCTAAGAGTGTGGCGATCAAGGAGGTAGAGGCTCGATCAAAGGCTAGGTTTTAAGAGAATTCAACTAGCAGAAAGCCAAGCCGTTATATGTTCCACCCTTCATTTCCTAGCATGAGAAAAATATGCTTTTCTACAGAGAATCTTAAATTTGTCTACCTCTCTCCTTCTGATGGAGCCCTCCCAGTATAATTTTCTTTGGGAACCGATCAATTTCCAGTGGGCTCTCCAGGATCAACCCGCTTAAAATATGCCTATTTATGTCAGAGGAGCTCAGCGCATCAAAATGCACACAGCAGAATTGCCATGCACCCGAAAGGATGCTGAAGACCTCCCTTTCTAATCTGATCTGTCTTTTGCCCCCCCTTGCTTCAAACCTATCCAAAGCATTCACTGGAAGCTAAGGAATGGACAAGAGTGACCGGTGAAAAATATTTAAAAACTTCACACAGGAATGACAAAGAAGCGAGGATTCCTGTGGTTTGTAAGGACATAGTAAACCTTTTTTATATATTACAATTCATGGTATTATCACAAGAATGGCCACCGTATGCAGTAACAGTGCTCCTGTTTTGTGTATTTCCTTCTCTCCAAAATAGATGACTCAGGAGAAAGAAGCAACACAGCACTTGTTTCACTAGAGAGAGGGGAAAAAATCCCCAGAACTGGCACTTAAAAAAAAAAAAGGACTTATTGTGTGTCGCTGACACACTTCAGAGATATACACCTCCTTCCTGAGCCAAATCTTTCCAGAGAGATGAAACCATCACTGCTTAAGGTTTTCCTGCAGTCCCACTATGGATGCTTGTGGCATGATCAAAGTTTCATCCATCAGTGGCTTGTGGGTCTTCCTTTGTCTCCATGACATCAAGATGATGTGGTTTGTCCGGACATTGTGTGTCACTGACACACTTCAGAGATATACACCTCCTTCTTGAGCCAAATCTTTCCAGAGAGATGAAACCATCACTGCTTAAGGTTTTCCTGCAGTCCCACTATGGATGCTTGTGGCATGATCAAAGTTTCATCCATCAGTGGCTTGTGGGTCTTCCTTTGTCTCCATGACATCAAGATGATGTGGTTTGTCCGGACAATGCCAGGGCATACATGGAATGTGCCAAAACAATTTAGAAATGGTATTGGCAATGGATGGCCTGGAGTATTCCAAGGAAGTGTAAGGTATGTTCAAAGGAGGGGACTGAAGTAGTAAAAGCTTTCAAAAGAGGATGTGAATGCATTGAAAGAGTCTAGTTCGGGTGGAATCCAATCCTTCGCTTCTGGAGTTGTGTTGCCCCTTTGGACTACCTATGAAGTGGGTGATGGATACAGTCGTCATGTGAAGATCTTCAGGGAAGGAGTCTTGTTACAAAGGATACAGTCATCATGTGAAGATCTTCAGGGAAGGAGTCTTTACTGGGACTAATGGAACAGATTTGGGGAAGGGCTGCTACTTGAGAGTAGAGCAGATACTTAGTCCTAAGACTTCCAAGGGGGCTAGGTAGCAAGGATGTCCTGCTGCTAGGCCTTCCGTATAAAAGATCCTTCTAAGAGAGAGGCACTACACTCAACCAGCTTGATCATAGAAAAGAATCCAACCAAGCTTGCTCAGAATTGCTAAGGGGTACACGAAAACCAGTCTTCACTTCTCTTCATGGCGGTCATCCCAGTACGATACACCAAGATGCGCATCTTTCCAGGTGCATCCTCAGCAATAAAAACAGGGAGCCGTCTTCCAACTTAATCATTGCCACATTTCTGGCACGGGTGTACTGGCATTGTTTCTCCTAATATTAGCCAGAGATAGTGGATTGCGCTCTGAAGACAGGTGGGCGACAGAGAGAGCTGCCAAGCTGTTTGCTGCAGAAACAGGAGCAGACGCAGAGACATCGGGGTGAGCTTGCTCGTCTGTTCTGCCCAAGAGCAAAGAGCAGGGGTGGCGGTGTCTGGAGCACGTCTTCGCTAGTCTGCTAACGAAAGACTTATGTGTGTGACCTGTGCCACCCGAGACTCCTCCGTGCAACCATGTTGGAATACTAAATGCCTTGCACCGCTCGGGCGCACGGGGGGGTTTGACTTACTGGGATCGGCAGGTCTTGTATCACACGAGAAAGCGAAACCAGGTTCAAGCTGCTTGGTTCAAAGCCACCCACACACCTTTCGTGTGCTTGTTCTCACCGGTGGCCGCACGAGTTGCTGAGAGCCCTTCATTCTGCTTTGGTACATTGGCTGGTTTTGCCAGGGGGAGGGGCGAGGGGGTTCCAGGGAAGACCCCCACCCCACCCCAACTGTAACCACTGCATGCTAAATTCAAAACTGGAGCTACAGGGCTAGAATCCTTTCAGGCCTTAAAAATCATGGTGTATCTCTGAGTTTGGTGGTTCACTTGAACTATATAAATCTTGACCCCAGGATCCTTCTCTTCCCCAGGATGTGCTTCTGAGGTACATGTCACTGGTCTGGTTTTATAGAAACAGTACCCCCCCGGGCTGGTTTCCTCCCTGGCTTGCCTTGCCTTTGCCACTCAGTCACTCCGTGGCAGCGGAGAGAAAAGATAAACAGGAATGCAATACCAACCGTGAACCGCCAGTTCTGTCGTTGCCGTTGTGTCTACACAGAGGTTTTGGAGGAAAGGAAGAAACAGGAGGAACAGCATGCAAAAAAAGGGAGATGGAAAAAAAATGGAACAGATAATATATGAGCAAGCTTTCAAAGAACATTGCGTGACAAGCAATAATAAAATGAAAGGCAAAAAGCATTTGAAGTGAGTTGCACTGTTTTAAAGAGACATGCCTTAAAGCTTGAAAGCTGTGAGCCTGGGGGGGGGCGCGC